ACTGAACCAACTGTGAGGAATGGATTTAACAAGTTCAGCTCCATGAAAGCATACAGGATGAATGCAGACAGAACCTCTATTTTTACAGGGGAAAAGGTCAAATTAGGCTCAAGCCAAAGAGATCAAACTAATGGTGGAATTTCAGGTGTGGTAAGGCAGGGTGAATGAGGAACGCCCCTGCTTACTGCACACCTGCTACTCCCAGACCGTTGAGTTAGGCAAAGATAGGAAGGTCAGGCTAGAGGGGGAGCTTCCGTAAATCTCACATCTGCCCTCATTGTGGTGCAAAACAGCTTCTCCTTTTCTTCAGCCCACAAATTTCATGAAAGTTCCTCTCATCAACAAACTCTGAACTGGAACCATACTGACACAGCAGTTATGGGAAATGTGGCTCTCAGCTTCTCTTCTGCAAAGCAGAAATTCTAAAAGTGGGAGGTGGTGATGCTTAGGTGAAACCTGGCACACAGCTGGAGCTCATTAAGTGGTGACCATCATCACCACCATCCACGAAGCAGCAGGGACACAAGCACTTAACTTCACAGCAGTTGGAGTATGTACTATTTTTCTCCTAGGTTATCTGTCCGTTGTTCAGTATCCCCCTTCTCCTACTTCACTGTGAAGGTACCAAACAAGGACTCGGGAATCACAATCCTAAAAGGTAAATGCTGGGGTGCCAGTCAGTTAAGTGTCTGACTCCTGATTTCGGTTCAGGTCATGATCTCACGGTTCATGGGACTGAGCTCTGGGTTAGGCTTTGTGCTGAGTGTGGAGCCTGCTTGGGATTCTCTGTCTCCCTCTCTCTCTCTCTCTGCCCCTCCCCAACTCGTGCTTGCTCTCTTTCTCAAAATAAATAAATAAACATTTTTAAAAGGCAAATGCCAAATAAGTCAGTAGTTTGGGAAAATATACTAAAGGATTTATAGGTTTGTGTTAACAACCCTAGCATGAAAGTGACTCTTCAGGTCCAGTCCTGGCTTTGGTGCTAGCAACTCTAGGACTTTGGACAAACTACCAAACCTTCCGGTAACTTTTTTATTGAAATGTTCAAGAGGCTGTGATACTTTGAGAAGAGCACATCATTCCCAAGAATGCATAACCTCAGTCTCATCAAGAGGACACTAAACAAACCCAAATTGAGGGACATGCTACAAAAAGACTGACCAATACTCTTCAAAATGTTAAGGTCAGGAAGAACAAGGGAAGACTGAGAACTGCCACAGATTGGAGAGTAAGGAGACATGAGAATTAAATGCAATAGAGGATCTTGGATTGAATCCTCTAAGTGAAAAAGAGCTTTAGTGGAAAGCCTGGCAAAATACAAAAAGTCTGGAGTTAATAATATTGAACCAATGTTAATTTGAGTTTTCATAAATGCGCCATAGTTATTAAAGCTGTTAACATTATGAGAAGCTGGGTGAAGGGTGTATAGGAACTCTGTACTATTTTTACAGTTCTTTTCTAAGTCCAAAATTATCCCAAAATAAAATGTTAAAATATAAAACTGTGTTAAACAGTATCAAAATTGAATTCATCATTTTGCATTGGGCCTTGCAAATTATGTACCCAGTCCTACATGGAAGTCTATGGAGAACTGGATGAAACTCCTTTCCTGGGGTGCCTGGGTGGCTCAATCAGTTAAGTGACCAACTCTTGATTTCAGCTCAGGTCATGATCTCAAGGTTGGCGAGATGGAGCCCGTGTGGGGCTCTCCACGACAGCACAGAGCCTTGTTTGAGATTCTCTCTCTCCATCTCTCTGCCCCTCCCGCCCCCAAATAAACTTAAAATAAAAACAAAACAAAACCCGGCCTGTGACACAAAATAATGAAGCAGCAGCAAAATGATTCCCACCAGCTTGAAGGGAACTTGGAAGGAGCAGAGACAGGAGCTTCTCCACCCAAATGGGTCTTGCGGACAAGAATAAGAATGGTTCTGGGTCAATGGCTAAAGACCAGGTGAGTCAAGTAGTTATCTCAGCTGATGATGGCTAAGAAAAATGACAATAACCTGATTCTGAACCCCCTCCTCACTCTTAGCATTGTATAAAACCACTTAGAATCAATTCTGGAGAAAAGGATGAAAATACCCACCCACTGGTATTCTCCCAGACCTACCTCTGTTCACCTCCTGGGCTCTTCACTTGCATTCTCGGCAAACTCAAAAAGCTTGAATGACTAAGGCTAAGTTTCTACCCGAAGCGCGTAGAGGTTCAAAACAGAAATTAAGAGTGATGTCACCAAGACGGCAACACACAGGTCTGTGATTTCACCGTCCCTCACTGGAACAACCATTCCTGAACAAGACCACTGGGAGAATCTTGAAGCACCGGCTGAGGCTGAGGCACCCCCCTGCACCACAGAGACCAAGGCAGACCGCCCGAGGTGGGTAAGAGAACTACACACGGACCGCAGCGCCCCTAACCCAGACCTGCGAGCACCACACGGACAGGCCTCCCTGAGCCTCAGGTTCCTTCCTTCCCTGGGAAGAGAGCCCGGGCGACAAGCGGTGCCCCAGCACCGTGGGTAGCTTCGCGGGAGCCCCCGTTCTGGTCTCGGCCCGCAGGGATTGCAGGAGAATCTGAGGCGGGCTGAGAAAGGGCGGGGTGGGGGGGGGCGGTCTCAACAAGCACGCGGACCGGCCGGCCGAGGCTGTAGCCCCAAGCGGGGGTGCTGCTCACCTGAGGAACTCGACTCGGCAGGGTGCACGTCTGCCGGACCCTGGTCCTCAAACAAGGAGTTGTGCCACCTTGGAGCCGCGACCGCCCAGGCCCCGGCCGGGTACTGAGTCACGGCCGCACCCGCGTCGAGGAGGCCATCTCCCGCCATACCAGAGGCACTGGCGGGGACAGCTTGAAGCCTGCGCCTGCGTACCTGAGCGCAGCCGTAAGTGGGCGGGGCTGCTTGCCCGCGGGGCGGAGCAGGTACCGCAGGTGGCAATAACATTGTTACTTAAATATATGGTAACAGTTTACGTGGCCTTTGGCCAGTAAGGCTTGGATTTTCAGCTGTTTTTCACTTGTCTTTAGAGATCATTTCTGCATCTAGTAGAGGACCATCTCTGCAGCACTCCGGAACAGTGGCAATCTAAACCACGTTCACGCTCACTACCTCCTTTACCCTAAGTTATTATTTTTTAATTTCCCTTCCCGTCCCAATGTTATTATTTTATTACAAATAAAAATGTGTCATATATTTAAATAAATATTAAAGTATAAAATGATATTATGCTTTAGTAACACTTCTTTTTTACCCAAGAAGGGTAAAACACTTCCAAAGTTTTCAATATCCTTATGACTATACCCACAATAGTAAGTCACTGTTGCTGGGTTCAACTATTCCATTTTGCTTATTAAGCAAGAAAGTAAACATTCTAACTGTACCACTTTTATGGAACGGGATGAAAAATATGTTATTAATTTAAAAAAAAAAAACATTGTGGATTGCATTAGTAAAAGAACAACCAAAGCATCAGTATTAAGAATATTTTAAATATTTATTGTATTTATTTGTAAAATAAGATGACATATGAAAGATAAACTTATTTATCAAACACAAGTCTTATGAACAGCCATTTAAAATCTTTAACATTGAACTAATACAATAATGGAGTGATCCTGTGACACTTTGAAGACAGAAAAGGTTTCATTTAGTTTAAAATAAAATATGCAGCACCTTTATGAAATTTATTTTGCTCAACCAGTGTGACTGTAAAGTTGTGCACAAAAAAAAAATAAGTTGTGCGTATATTATGATTCAAACTAAGAAATCATTTTAAACACTTTCTTAAAAGAAATAATGGGGAAAAAAAGGGGGGGGCACCTGGGTGGCTCAGTCAGTTAAGCGTCCGACTTCAGCTCAGGGCACAATCTCACGGTCCGTGAGTTGGAGCCCCACGTCGGGCTCTGGGCTGACAGCTCAGAGCCTGGAGCCTGTTTCAGATTCTGTGTCTCCCTCTCTCTGACCCTCCCCCGTTCATGCTCTGTCTCTCTCTGTCTAAAAAATAAATAAACGTTAAAAAAAATAAAAAAAAAAGAAATAATGGGTATTACAAACTGTTGTAGCCAATACAGCACCCACTATCCACATGTGGCTATTTTAATTTAATTTTTAATCAGCTAAAATGTGGTAAAGTTTTAAAATTTAGTTCCTGTCTAATTAGCCACCTCAAGTGTTTAAGAGCTACACGTGGCTAGTGACATTACCATTATGTTGGTAATAGTATTAGACAGGACTGGTCTAGTAACTTATATCAGCAGCCACCCTAATAAAGTTAACCATGTAAATCTTGGAAACTTTTGGTGAATATAAAGTTTTTGTTCTTGTAATTTTGCTTCTAATCCAGGGGATATTTCAGATAACACAAAATAAAAATCAAATTTGAAATCTGCATATAAAATTTGAAATTTAACCTTGTCTAAGATATAATTTTATTACTTTTCCATATTAGCTATATTACCAGTAGTTTGTAAAATTATTTGTGAAACTGAATGGTGAGGCCAAAGATTATTTTAGATGAATTAATCTGAATAACTCTGTCCAAACTCTTTGGCCCTCTATGGAAGATTTTTTTTTACTTGAATTATTTACTTTTTAAGATCACTGTAACATAGCCTAAACATATAAAGATATGCATAGAAATACTATAATTTTATTAACCTAAAGGCAACTAACAGCAAATTATATATTTGGGTAACAGAGTCATAAAAATTATATCTTACATCTTATTTTTCTAAAATTAATTATACTATATTTCACTAAAATATTCTAAGTTGAGTTTTCAAAAGATAATGTCATTTGAAAAATGTATCTATTCTACAAATTAACCATATAAAACAATCCTAAACTATTTCACAAGTCACCAAAATAACAAGACTTGTCAACTTTCACACAAATTACATTGACTGACCTATTTATTACTTTCTATTGAATTTCTTCTTTGCCTTATCAAAAAACTGATCTAGGATCAGAAAACTTATCTAGGAAAATCCATGGGTCATAAGCAAATGACTGCAGATAAAGAGTGAACTCCCACAAGGAAAAAAATTTGCTTCTTAACAATAACTAAAGATGCTATAAAATGAATGTAACTGAAGACCATTTGATAGGTTGAAAGCTAAAAGATGGCATTATAACTAACGGAATATTTCTCTTTTTTGACAAAATGTTTCTTAAACATAAATGATCAAACAATGAAATTATACAGTATTTCTATGGCTCACACATTCAAGAACTTTAAAGTGCTTAAGCTAAAAATAAAATCCTACTCATGAGCAAAATGGAATTTTTTTTCATTCTCCAATATTCTTGCCAATATCCTTTAAGATCACTTTTTTCTAATTGAATCTCTGATCAATTTTTTTTTCATTTAAACACTGTAAGATTTAAATTTGTATGCATTTCAATAGTAAAATCAATCAGAAAAACACGGTCTGTTTATAAACCTTCACCCAGACATTTCAGAAACAACAACAAAAATGTTAGTGTCTTAATCTGGTCAGATTCTTTTTATTCATAGTGATATATTCTTAAATTTAAATTACTTCAATGGAACCAAAAAGCCACCTGATAGGATTTTCTATGTTGACTCTTAGAAAACTGCTGTGATAAAATATTAACTGGAGGTAATTAGAAGAATGCTGTTTTTTAATCAGGAGTAAGTCAAAAAACATAGGTCTCATGTCTGGAAAGCTTGGGTCAAACAATGAGATGCCAATCCTATGAATCCCCTATGGATGGATGTATAAGAAAACCAACATTGGAGATTTGGTTATGTGCAAACCATACCTCCCTGCTGAGTCAGTGGAGCTCAGGCGTAAGATCTACAGTGACGATTCACTTGACAAATATTGAATATCCACTACCTACAAATTCCTACACTTGGCATTATGGTTTGCCTATCCAACTATGGCTCTCTACCTTACCACTGTGTCACTGGTGCTCAGATTTCCTCTGTCACTAAGAGCTAAATGTGCTATTCTCATTCTATATTAAAACAGCAGTGAAAACAACCTTCAGGAGTTTACTACCATTCCCTTAATTAGAGGTTCTTATCGGAATGCCGCCCATCACTTTGTTCATGAGATGAAACATTACACATCTTCCTAACGCAATTCTTCCTAATGCAATTCTATGTGGGCAGAAAAAGAACACTGGATATTTCTTTGGTTGTGAATGCAGAACTACACTGCCACTACAACAAGCTAATTTTGGAATTATAACTTGAGAAACTTACAGGATGATACAGCAGTAAAAAAAAATGTAGAATTAGAATGGCTGACATTCAAGTACTTCAGTCAGTCAATATCTCTTGGCTCTGACTCTGTTAAAGGGTTTGTTGCTGGAAGCGGCTATGCTTTGGATGTGGACTTCTTGAAGTCACATCTAAGACTACGGATACAACTATTGATAGCTGTCACACACAACTTCCAGTCATATCCACTTTCTGACAGATCGCAGGTTGGGTAGGCATCTCCAAGAAATTCTGGTGGTAAAATCCAAAAACATTAGTTACTCAGAAATCACTTCTCAGAGAAATGAATTTATTCAGCCTCAGTTCTATTGCTGTGTCTATGAAAGAAAGGGTCATTAAAACTTTAAAACACATGGACTATATTATTAGCTGAACAAATCTTTTCATCTAAAAGGATAATATGAAATAGCTCCATTCTTAAATCATAGTAAAATAACAATATCCCATGAACTTACTACATAACCAGAATGGAAATCCTCTCCTGCCTTCAATACCCAATGTAAACTTTTCTCATTCTTAAATTTATCAAACATGCATGTTATTCATTATAACATGACATGCTAAGTCTTTGTAACACACAAGATGCTGAAGTATCTTTTTTACTTTAATTTTTTTCTTTAATGTTTATTTATTTTTGAGAGAGAGACAGTGTGAGCAGGGGAGGGGCAGAGAGAGAGGGAGACACAGAATCTGCAGAAGGCTTCAGGCTCTGAGCTGTCAGCACAGAGCCTGACACGGGGTTCAAACTCACAAGCTGTGAGATCATGACCTGAGCCAAAGTCCGATGCTTAACCAACTAAGCCACCCAGGTGCCCCACTTTTATACTTTTAGAGGCAAGAAGCTGTAACTGCTAAATTTTTTGGTGCTGCTTGGTTTATCTCAGACAAGAAAGAATGAGAGTCTCTAGATCTTGCAGTTACAGGAAACCGTCTATAAGGGAAGGTAACAAAGCAACAAAGCTCAAATTAGAAAAATTTAGGATATTAGAGAAAGGAGGAGCACACACAAAGGGAAAGGTAGAGAAGAGAGATGTTATTTAACTGGAAGAGCAGAACTGTCCTCAGATACTTTTTTAGGTAACTTCTTTTTTAAAACTTATTTATGTATTTTGAGAGAGAAAGAGAGAAATGAGGGAGGGGTAGAGAGGGGGGAGGGAGAGAGAGAATCCCAAGCAGGCTCTGCGCTTTCAGCGCAGAGCCCGACGCAGAGCTCAAATTTATGAACCGTGAGATCATGACCTCAGCCAAAATCAAGAGTTGGACACTTTACCAACTGAGCCCCCCAGGCACCCCTCGGTAATTTCTGAAGTAAATCTGAGGTCTTACAAAAGGACCTGATGAATAATCCAGGCCAGCATTAGTTGAGTACATTAATCTCATTTATTTTTCAATAAGATTAAGAAGCTGGGAAATCAGGATAATGACATAAAAACAGCATAAGTCCAAAATTTTTAGCAAGGTATGTGACAAAGTTAAAAAGTTTTCATATTCAAAGGACTACTTAATACATCAGTGGTAGCCTTGGAGGAGGCTTTCACTGGTATGTCACTAGTGTTTTTTATGCTGCCAGACATTTTTATTCACAAAAAAAGAAGTTATGGAAAGCAGGCTTGGCCCATCTGCCCATGACAGCAAAGCTGGGATGGATAACTAATAGACTGGAAGACAAATATAGCATCTGCAAACCTTTCAACCGGCTGTAACAAGGAGCCTAAAGTGGTTGGTGTTTCCCAAAAAAATGTTCTCTGAGACACTAGTCATGAAAGAAGTTTCCTGGGGAAAAAGTTTACAGTTGTGCAAATGAGAAATGCTACACTCCAGAGTTAGTTCCCACTGAAAAATCCCACAGTGAAGAGACCTGCTGATTCAAAGGTGTCAGAAGCAGATGCGTTCGTAGGGCTTATAAACGAGGAAAGTAGCAAGGCATGCAACAACAGAAGGTCAGGACTGTGGAAATCTGGGAGCTAGAAAAAGAACAATAAATGAAGCCTAAAACGAACAAAAGGAAGGAAATAATAAAGATCAGAGCAGAAATAAATGACATAGAAACTAAAAAAATGGATCGATGAAACCAGGGGCTGGTTCTTTGAAAAAGTTAATAAAACTGATAAACCTCTAGCCAGACTTATCAAAAAGAAAAGAGAAATGACCCAAATAAATTAAATAAAGAGGATAAATAACCACACCACAGAAATACAGACAATTATAAGAGAATATTATGAAAAACTATATGCCAACAAATTGGACAACCTGGAAAAAATGAATAAATTCCTAGAAACACATAAATTACCAAAACTAAAACAGGAAGTAATAGAAAACTTGAATAGACCAATAACCAGCAAAAAATGGAATCAGTAATCAAAAAACTCTCCCAACAAACAAAAGTCCAGGACCAAAAGTCCCGATGGCTTCACAGGTGAATTCTACCAAACATTTAAAAGAAGAGTTAATACCTCTTAGTCTCAAACTTTTCCAAAAAAACAGAAAATGAAGGAAAACTTCCAAATTCATTCTATGAAGCCAGAATTACCCTAATACCAAAACCAGATAAAGACTCCACTAAGAAAAGAGAACTACAGGCCAACATTCCTGATGAACATGGATGCAAAAATGCTCAATAAAATACTAGCAAACCGAATCCACCAGTACATTAAAGGAATCATTCACCACAATCAAGTGGGATTTATTCCTGGGCTGCAAGGGTGGTTTAATATTCACAAATCAATCAACATGATACGCCACATTAATAAAAGAAAAGTTAAAAACCATATGATCATTTCAATAGATGCAAAAAAATCATTTAACAAAGTGCAACATCCATCCATGATAAAAACACTCAACAAAGTAGGTTTAGAGGGAATATACCTCAACATAATAAAGGCCATGTATGAAAAACCCACAATATCATCCTCAATGGAGAACAACTGAGAGCTTTTCCTCTATGGTCAGCAACAAGACAGGAATGTCCACTCTCACCACTGTTATTTTTTTAAGTTTATTTATTTATTTTTTTTTAGTCATCTCTACACCCAACATGGGGCTTGAACTCATGATCCCAAGATTAAGAGTTGCTCTTCCAACTGAGCTCTCTAGGTCACCCTCACCACTGTTATTTAACATAGTACTAGAAGTCCCAGCCATGGCAATCAGACAACAAAAAGCAACAAAAGGCATCCAAATCAGCACAGAAGAAGTAAAATTTACACTATTTGCAGATGACCTGATACTCTACGTAGAAAACCTGCAAGACTCCATCAAAAAATTGCTAGAACTGAAACACAGATTCAGTAAAGTCAGGCTATAAAATCAATGTACAGACATCTGTTGCATTTCTATACACCAATAATGAAGCATCAGAAAGAGAAATTAAGGAATTCATCCCATTTACAACCGCACCAAAAACCATAAGATACCTAGGAATAAACCTAACCAAAGAGGTATACTCTTGGTTGAAAGACCTATACTCTGAAAACTATAAAGCACTGATGAAAGACATTGAAGATGACACAAAGAAATGGAAAGACATTCCATGCTCGTGTATTTAAAGAACAAATATTGCTAAAATATCTAACATTTAATGCAATCCCTATCAAAATACCACAAGAATTTTTTTACAGAGCTAGAACAAACAATCCTAAAATTAGTATGGAACCACAAAAGACCACAAATAGCCAGAGCAACTCTGAGAAAGAAAAGCAGAGCTGGAGGCAACACAATTCTGTACTTCAAGTTATATTACAAAGCTCTAGTGATCAAAACAGTATGGTACTGGCATGAAAACAGACACATAGGGGCGCCTGGGTGGCGCAGTCGGTTAAGCGTCCGACTTCAGCCAGGTCACGATCTCGCGGTCCGGGAGTTCGAGCCCCGTGTCAGGCTCTGGGCTGATGGCTCAGAGCCTGGAGCCTGTTTCCGATTCTGTGTCTCCCTCTCTCTCTGCCCCTCCCCTGTTCATGCTCTGTCTCTCTCTGTCCCAAAAATAAATAAAAACGTTGAAAAAAAATTTTTTTAAATAAAAAAATAAAAAAAAAACAGACACATAGATCAATAGAACAGAATAGAAAATCCAGAAATGAACCCACAACTATATGGTCAATTAATCTTTGACAAAGCAGGAAAGAATATCCAGTGGGAAAAAGACAATCTCTTCAACAAATAGTGTTGGAAAAGCTGGACAGCAACTGGACCACTTTTCTACACCATATACAAAAATAAATTCAAAATGGATTAAAGACCTAAATGTGAGTGAGACATGAAATCATGAAAATCCTAAAGGAGAACACAGGCAGTAACCTCTCTGACATCAACCCTAGCAACATTTTTCTAGATAGGTCTCCAGAGACAAGGGAAACAAAAGCAAAAATAAACTATTGGGACTTCATCGAAATAAAAAGATTCTGCACAGCAAAGGAAACAATCAACAAAACTAAAGGGCAACTGCTGGAATGAGGGAATATATTTGCAAATGACATATCTGATAAAGGGTTTCTATCCAAAAAATATAAAGAACTTATAAAACTCAACATTCAGAAAACAAATAATCCAATTAAAAACTGGACAGAAGATATGGTCAGACATTTCTCCAAAGAAGACATACAGATTGCCAAGACACATGGAAACATGCTCAACATCACTCAGCATCGGGGAAATACAAGTCAAAACTACAATGAGATATCACCTCACACCTGTCAGTACGGCTAAACTCAACAACACAAGAAACAATAGGTGTTGGTGAGGATGTGGAAAAAGGGGAACCCTCCTGTACTGTTGGTAGGAATCCAAACTGGTGCAGCCACTCTGGAAAACAGTATGGAGGTTCCTCACAAAGTTAAAACTAGAACTACCTTACAATCCAGCAATTGCACTACTGTGTATTTACCCAAAGAATACAAAAATACTAATTCCAAGGGACACCCCCCCAATGTTTACAGCAGCATTATCTACAATAGCCAAACTATGGAAATGGTCCAAATGTCCATAGACTGATGAATGGGTAAAGAATACTGGTATGTATGTGTATAAACACACACACACACACACACACACACACACACACCCCAAGTATTACTCAGCCATAAAAAAAAGAATGTAATCTTGCCATTTGCAATGACATGGATGGAGATAGAGAGTATTATGGTAAGCGAAATAAGTTAGTCCAAGAGAGACAAATACCATATGATTTCACTCATTTGTGGAATGTAACAAACAAAACAAATGAGCAGAGGGGAAAAAAAGAGAAGGAGGCAAACCAAGAAACAGACTCTTAACCACAGAAAGCAAACTGATGACTACCAGAGGGAAGGAGGGTAGGCAGATGGGTGAAATAGTTGATGGGGATTAAGGAGGGCACTTGTGATGAGCACTGGGTATTATATGTAAGTGTTGAATCACCAAATTGTACAACTGAAACTAATATTACACTGTATGTTAACTAACTAGAATTTTAAAAAACTTTAAAAAATGTAGTGGATTGCCATCAATGGAAGTGTTCAAGGTGAGGAGAGGTGACTATATGTCAAAGCTGAGATCAAATTCCTGCTCTGGGGCAAAAGCTGTATTAGAGGATGTGTGATGTACTTCCTGTTGCTAAGCTTTTATAGTTATGTTGTATACAGACATAGATGGGAAGGTATAAGGATTGTTCGCTGATTGCAAATCTGCAGCCTACTAACTTTCTCCATGTAAACCATTCTCTAAAGGGCCCCTAAGTGATACTGAACTCTCATCATAGAGTGTGAACAATAATTTCTTCTATGAAATCACACCTTTGGCTACTAGACATATTTGACTACTAATTTCTGTAAGAGTTCCCTCCAAATAATAAAATCTGAGAATAAGAAATTATAATAGAATAGAATAAACTGGTTTATTCATTCAATGGGATTCCAATCAGCAGTTAAAATGCATGAACTTCAAAAACATAATGTTGAGTGATAAAAATTAGCAAAAGGATACACACTATATATCCCCATTTATGTACATTAAAACTATAGAATATTATATAGTATTTATGGATCTATCAATACAAGTAGCAGAAGTGTAAAATATGCACGCAAATAATAAATCTAACTCCAAGACTGTGGTTACTTCTGGGGAGAAATACAGGGAAAGGGATGATGGGAGAGAATTTTAATTATATCAGTAATAATTTATTATTAAAAAAAAAAAAACACCTGGAGCACAAAAAGCAAAATACCTATATCTGTACTGGATTGACAAGTGATTATATTACTATATCATTTCTGTACATTTCTGTGTGTTTTATACTGAACTGATACTTTTACACAAATTATGTTGGAGGCCATAAAGTCCAGTCCTTCTATGAGTAGAGGAATCGCCTCTCATCTCTGCTCACTGAGATTTTGCTCTGACTCTATTCATTCTTTAAGTTCATTTTGTCCTTATATTAAAGTAAAATATGTTTTCTGGTCATATTCTCCTCCTTGGGCCTGGCTCTGCCCAAGCCTCTAGGACAATGATGATTCTATCGTATTCTCCCTGCTGAGATAACTCAATGGCTGCCCTTCCACATGGAACAGAACTTTGAGTCTTATGGGAAATTTGTTAAAATATGCCCCATGTGGATAGTATGTCAAACTCATACTGAATATTTTTTACTACAAAAGACATCTTCTTGATTTGTAATATAATAAGGGATAAAACAAAATGAAATGCATAGTGTAATATCTTTAGTCTACTTTTAAGGAACTAGTATATTCCAGATATTAAAAGAACTATAAAAGTCACCTTTTCCCCCTCACTTAAAAATTTTTTTAATTAGAAAGATAATATTTCTCCTATAAACACCTTCATTTCCAGATTGGTTACAAAGTCTGTGTCCTTTTTTTTTTTTTACTGTAATGTAAGAGGAATTAGGTTTTGTTTTTTTGCCTGGTGGGTTAGCTCAGTGATGTCCAAATTGCAAACTGTGACCAATTACTAGGTCATGAGATCAGTGATGGCAGCACATTTTTAAAAATGTATTAGAATAGAAACCACTGGAATGTAATTCTCATAGAAATAATAAGCATTGCTTGTGAAACTTTTGCTTGTGTTTTTAAAAACTCATACACACATGTACTGAGTCACAACATAAACTGTATTTTTGACTATGAGTTGCAGTAAAAAACACATTTGAAAACAATTGGATTAGATGACAGCAAATGCTTACAAAAGGTGCTGTAAGCCAGCCTTCTTTAGTTCAGTCTGAAACACAAAGCGCTGTTCAAATTTGCTGGGTATGTGTGATATGAAGGCAGGAACCAAAGAACTAACTAACTGAGATGGTGCTCAGAACTCTCTCTTTGCTGGGGACCAGCAATACAAATAAGAAATATTCTGCATCCTGCGTTTTCCAAATTAACAATTTCATAGAACTGCTTTTGGAAGCTTCATCCATATACATCATAGATAAAGACGACACTGTACTCATATGCACAAGAAAAATCTAGCAAATTAACCCGCTGTGCTATTGTTGACACTTTGGCAAATTGATAAAGCCCAGCAGCTTCGACCCTGATCCTCAGTAAACAGAGGTGTTTGAGTTTCCATATGCCTGGCAAGACAGAGCAATTAGCCTGGGAAATCCAAATGCAAAAGGAACACAATTTATGAAAACGCTCCTTGTTATGCTCTAAAGAGGGAATTAGTTACAGCTCCATCTTTCCTTAAAATACACACAAACTGAATGGATTGTCGTTTCTGTCCTTCTGTAACATAATTTGCTTTTTATTTATTCTCACATACTCAACTTGTAACCCACCTCGAAGAGCGTTAATCCTATTCGGATTAAGGGCATACAAACCATGCCCAAAACTGCCATAGATGTTACTTCTTATCAGGACTTCCTCTGTGAACAGGTTGTGAATTAAGTATATGGCTGACAGCTCTGGGCGAGACTTCACTTTTGCCATACTTAGCACTGAATGCGGCAACCGGATATTTCTATCTGGATTTCCAAGATATTCTAGAAGCAAAAGAGAAAGAAGATGTCAACTTCCATGGCAAATGTAGGGTTCAAGTTTTTAAAAAGGCTTTAACAGAATGGTTGATTTTTCTGAATTTTTAGGCTCCAGAATTTGAGACGTTAAAAAAATTAAAGCCTTAGGGCACCAGGGTGGCTCAGTCAGTTGAGTGTCTGACTTCGGCTCAGGTCATGATCTCGCAGTCCGTGGGCTCAAGCCCCACATGGGGCTCTGCGTTGACAGCTCAGAGTCTGGAGCCTGCTTCATTCAGATTCTGTGTCCCCCTCTCTTTCTGCCCCTCCCCTGCTCACACTCTGTGTGTGTGTGTCTCTCTCTCAAAAATAAATAAACATTAAAAAAAATATTAAGGCCTTAAGTTTTTAGTGTATCATGAGATAGCATGACAAATGAAACAGGAATCACTGCTGATATGATTACACATGTTCTGATCATTCAGGAAAGTGATTTAGTGTTCTTTTGCCTTTCAGGATATAATCAGTTTTAACATTCCATTTAGTAATAAATTCTAAGTAATTTTCATGCATCGTTGTCCTCTATAAAAAAAAAAAAAAAACAACGCTTTTTCAAAAAGAAGCAACAGGAGCACCTGGATGACTCAGTCAGTTGAGCGTCTAACTCGTTATCGGCTGAGGTCATGATCTCACAGTAGTGAGATCAAGCCCCCAGTCAGGCTCCGTGCTGAGTGTGGAGCTTGTTTAGGATTCTCTCTCTTCCTCTCTCTCTGCCCCTCCCCAGCTCGCACTCTGTCACTCTCTCCCTCTCTAAAATAAATATATAAACTTTAAAAATCATTTTTTAAAAAGGAACAAGGTTATTACTGAAATTTTTACAATTTTTAAAATGTATGTTTTCTGGGGCACCTGGGTGTCTCAGTTGGTTAAGCGCCCGACTTCGACTCAGGTCATGATCTCACAGTTCATGAGTTGGAGCCCTGTGTTAGGCTCTGTGCTGACAGCTCAGAGCCTGAAGCCTGCTTTGGATTTGTATCTCCCTCTCTCTCTGCCCCTCTCCTGCTCATACTCTGTCTCTCTCAAAAATAAATAAATGTTCAAAAAAATGTAAATGTAGGGTTTTTTTTATTGGTTATTAAACTCATCATTTAAAAATCAGCAAACTCCAAAGGAAACAATCAACAAAACTAAAAGGCAACCGACAGAATGGGAGATGATATTTGCAAATGACATATCAGATAAAGGGTTAGTATCCAAAATCTATAAAGAACTTATCAAACTCAACACCCTAGAAACAAATAATCCAGTGAAGAAATAGGCAAAAGACATGAATAGACACTTCTCCAAAGAAGACATCCAGATGGCCAACTGACACATGAAACAATGCTCCACATCACTCATCATCAGGGAAATACAAATCAAAACCACAATGAGATACCACCTTACACCTGTCAGAATGGCTAACATTAACAACTCAGGAAACAACAGATGTTGGTGAGGATGTGGAAAAAAGGGGAATGCTTTTGAAATATTGGTGGGAATGCAAACTGGTGCAGCCACTCTGGAAAACAGCATGGAGGTTCCTCAAAAAACTAAAAACAGAACTACCCTAAGACCCAGCAATTGCACTACTAGGCATTTACCCACAGGATACAGGTGTGCTGTTTCGAAGGGACACATGCACCCCCATGTTTATAGCAGCACTATCCACAATAGCCAAAGTATGGAAAGAGTCCAAATGTCCATCGATGGATGAATGGATAAAGAAAATGTGGTATATATATATATATATATATATATATATATACACATATACATACAATGGAGTATTACTCGGCAATCACAAAGAATGAAATCTTTCCACTTGCAACTACATGGATGGAACTGGAGGGTATTATGATAAGTGAAATTAGTCAGAGAAAGACAAAAATCATATGACTTCACTCATTTGAGGACTTCAAGAGACAAAACAGATGAACATAAGGGAAGGGAAGCAAAAATCACAAAAACAGGGAGGGGGACAAAACATAAGAGACTTTTCAATATGGAGAACAGAGGGTTACTGGAGGGGGTGTGGGAGGGGGGATGGGCTAAATGGGTAAGGGGAATTAAGGAATCTACTCCTGAAATCACTGTTGCACTATATGCTAATTTGGATGTAAATTTTTAAAAATAAAAAATAAAATTAAAAAAATGTTTAAAAAAATCAGCAAACGCAACTCAGTTATCTTATTTTAGATAACTTATTTGAACCCAAAAATAAATTTTAAGCCTATTCTCATTCCTCAACTCTACAGCCTAATTATCACCAACTCTCATCAGTCCTAGTCATTCAAATTAACCACACTTAAAAATATCATATTTTACACATAATAAAGAATTATTTGTTGGAGAAAATATGTTAGAGAAATACAATAGGATTCTTACAGGTCCATAAACGTATTTTTCATCTTGAAACATTCATCATTTAATGAGTAACAGTATTAATTACTGAATCCCCCAGATCCAACATTTAGCAAGAGACATAAAATTATTCAAAAGTTCACTTAGTAGGTCCAAAGACTTCACTCTGGAAGATTAACCTAGCAATATTTATCAAGGCCTGAAAAAAAGATTAATACCCTTTAACCTGGTATTTCAAATTCTGAGAACCTAACTTGAGAAGAGACCCCAGGGTGCCTGAGTGGCTCAGTCACTTAAGCATCTGACTTCAGCTCAGGTCATGATTTCACTGTTTGTGAGTTCGAGCCCCATGTTGGGCTCTGTGCTGACAGCTCAGAGCCTGGGGCCTGCTTCGGATTCTGTGTCTCCCTCTCTTTTTGCCCCTCCCCCACTCAAGCTTTGTCCCTCTCTCTCTCTCTCCCCCTCTCTCTCTCTCCCCCTCCCCTTCTCTCTCTCCCTCTCAATCTCTCTGTCAAAAATAAACATTAAAAAATTTAATAAAAAAAAAGAATCCAAAATATGTACAGAGCTATACAAAGGAATTTTCTGGCAGCATGAATTGTATGACTAATAATCCTCTCCAAAAAAAATCCGCAAAAAGAAAGAGGGAGGTAGTTAAAGAAATTAGAGCACTTAATGGAATATTATATACCTGTTAAAAGCAATGATCATAAACACTGGAGATTCTAGAGGAAAAACATACACCTATCATATTTAATAAGAAGAGCATAGAAACCATAATGTTTTAAAAGGTAAGAAAAAAAGTAGAAGAAAATTAAAATGCCCATAATAGTGTTTTACAGTATCTGGATGGGATACAGTATCTTGTGGGAGCTTTTCTTCCCTCCCAAATATTTTCCAATTTGTAAGAATCAAATGGTGTAACAGACTATACACAAACTGGGCAGCTCAGCTGCCTGGCTCACAATTTGCTTAATTGGCTCTATCCCCTGGTTCTAGACCTCTCACCTAAGCACCCCAAATCAGATTCTTTCTCCTAGGAATCTGAACGGTGACCAGAGAAAACCAGAACCTAGATATCATGGAAGACACAGAGACCCACAGACCTCAATAGACCCCAGAGGCTGCACTGTGGGGCCTGGCAGTTTGGCTCCTGCATGTGGCTCGGTTTGTTCTTTCCTTCTTTAAATCTCAGAGCTATTCACCCTCTGATTTTTGTTATGGTTTAATTGGGCCAAAGTTTGTTTCTATGGCATACAACCTGAACAAACAGAGTAGTTCCATTACTTTTATAATGGAAAAAATATAATGGAAAAAATATAAAGATGCATCATTTGAATAATTTCGTCTAAACAGGTTCACAGGTAATATTCTTCCTTAGGGGTGACATGGGGGCTGGGGAGAAACAGAAAATAGTTTTGCTACCTCCAGTGCCACTACACCCCAGCATACTGAGGGAGGGGTATTGGGAAGCATGAGTGGCAGGTGGCGTGGTCACCTACAGAACCGACTGCCGCTTGACACTAATCAAGTGGGATGTGCCTCCAGCAGACAGCTAGCGGTAGGGGCAAAGTGTTCTGACAGATGGGATTCATCAATTCACACAAAAGCTCTTTAAGGAGCACCAGCCATGTGCTGGGCACAGAGAGAGCAAAACACCTGAATTGCTTCTGGATCATCCAGCTGTAGCACCTTCTCCTTCACCTGCGGAGCAAGATGCCTAAACTAAGGGGCAACTGGGTGGCTCAGTTGGTTGGGTGTCCAGTTTCGGCTCAGGCCATGATCTCACGGTTCATGGGTTCAAGCCCCATGTCGGGCTCTGTGCTGACAGCTCAGAGCCTGGAGCCTGCTTTGGATTCTGTGTCTCCCTCTCTCTCTCTGCCCCTCCCCGGCTCACACTCTGTCTCTCTCTCAAAAACAAATAAACATAAAAAAAAAAAGATGCCTAACCTGAAGGTTCACACTGGCTGAAAGAATTAGCTGAGAACTGCTTTTCAAAGGAAACGTAACAGGTTTAGCTTAATGTTAAAAACTACCAGTCTCAGAACTAGGTTGTCCGTTTTCATTAACTCCTTAATATAAGAGATTAGGTTGTTTAGATTTCTTATGAAAACTTTCAAACATACATAAAAGTAGTACAAGGAGATCCATAAATGCATCACCCAGATTCAACATGTATGATCAAGAGAACTTATTTTAACTCACCCAATGCTTCGTAAGATACCAATGAATTATCAGTGGAATGTTCTTTAATTCCTTTGGGGCAAGCGCTGCTGTTCTGCTGAGAATTCCCATTTCCTCTTGTTTCTGAGGCAGCTGCTTGCTGAGATAACTGGGAACTGCTTTCACTGCCTTTACCATACCTCGTACCGTTCAAATCTGCAGCCACTGGTGTATCAGGATTGGTAGGGCCTTTACTGTTGTCACGAGCTTTCTGCTGAAACACCAAATTGTATTTATAAACAAAGTCCCATTGGGAGAAAATATGGACATGTTCTATCAGGTACCAGAACCCCCCAGGTTGGTAAGGAAGCAACCGTCTCCAATAAGGTGAGCGAAAGCCGTGATAGAAGGAGAGGTGTGGCTTCCTCCTCAAACCACCTTAACTGCCTGCTTTTTGGAGAACCTGGCAGCTTTATCTAATTACCTGAATGATAATTGCTGGCACAAAATAAGTGCTTAGGAAACATCTCATGAATAAACGAATCAATCAGCTTCTTGGAGATGACAACTTGTGGGGTTTTTTTTTTTTTGAAATATTTTTGTTTTCTTTCTCTTTCCTTGGTGGCTAGAGACTCTAGGGATGTCTAAAGACCCTCAGGATCTTTTTAATTTTAAAGCTGTGCTTGAGTCCCATTTTCCTGGCATATTCAACCAGAATCTTTGATGGAAGGAGTGGGAAAGCTCAGGCATTAATTACATTCTTTAAAAGTGTCTCGCACTATTCTAATACATACCGGGGGCTGACAACCACTGCTCTAGGTCCGGGCTTCTCAAACTTCAATGTGCACACAAATCACCTGAGGGTCTTGCGAAAATGCAAATTCTGCCTCAGTGAGTCTGGTGTGGAACTCAAGACTCTGCATTTCTCACAAGCTTTCCTGTGGTGCTGCTGCTGCTGGTCCGCGGACCCGCTTTGAGTGGCAAAGACCTATCCCTCTCCTAGTCAAGTACACAGCAGGCATTTGGCAGATGCTGCTTCTCTTCTGACGCCTAAGCAAATATGCAAATTACCATTTTCCAGGCAGTATCATAATTTTACATTCAAATGTTTAGGGTGCAGTTTTTGTAGGATATAAAAGGGAATGTGAAAAATAAGCAGATTTGGTTTCAGACAGATGGTGCGTGAGCTATCACTGAAATCAAGCCGTTCACCAGGAAAACATAAGCTCAGCTACAAATATTCTTGGCAGAGAGTTTCCATAAACTCACTCCAGAGACGCAGGAGTGACTGTATGTGGTGAGAATAACATGGGATTTTTAGAGGGGTGGGTAGAAATGAGAAATTGTTGAGTTAAATGCTTCTTCAGGAGAAGGCAATAGATGGGACACTCTCCCTCTCCCCTACTGGCCTGTTCATGTTAAAAAATCTCTAATGAGAGGCGCCTGGGTGGCTCAGTCAGTTAGGAGTCCGACTTCGGCTCGGGTCATGATCTCACAGCTCGTGGGTTGGAGCCCCACTTTGGGGTCTGCACTGACAGCTCAGAGCCTAGAGCCTGCTTCGGATTCTGTGTCCGTCTCCTTGCCCCTCCCCTGCTCGCACGCTCTCTCTCTCAAATATAAAATAAAACATAAAAAAAAATCTCTAATGCACTTTGAAGATAGAATGGATGAGAGAAAAGCTAGATTCCTGTTTACCATGTAACTGTGGAAAGTACAACATATCTACGATTGCTTAAACTCATGACATGCATGCTTTTCACCAGGTCCTGCCATCACTGAAAGCAAACAAGCACCTGGGCCATCCATAAGTACCATTAGAACAGCTAAGCAGCACCACAGTCTGCTCTTTTCTGTGTTACTCAATGGGATACTGAAAAAGATTTACCAAATACCTTCACAGCTGAAACTTTTTTCTAGTATACACCGTGGCTTCAAATATACAAACTCTAACACTCCATTTGATTGCTTTTATCTTTAGAGTATTTGTATGGAGGATAAATGTCAAAGAGTGAAACAAACAGGCACAGAACATACACTGCCCCTTAATTAAATAAACAAGAATTGAGCACACAGCCTAAAGATCCAGTGTCTCATGCTATCCATTCCGGAATTGTACACAGTATGCAATTGTACAGCAGCGACCATATTTAAATAAAAAAGAACTTACTCGTATTGTGTTGGCTTCAGAACGCAAACAGCTGATCAGAGAATTGATATCGGCAATACAGGTTTGCCAGTAATTTCCATATTCACGCAAATCATAGTCGGGAAAAACTGATTGCAGATGTTCTGCAAAGAGCAGAAAGCGTTTATGAAAATTTTAAAAAAGAAAAAAAACCCAAAGAACTGACAAGACATTTTTTATTTAAAAAGCTGAAATTTTCTATTTTGAATTGTCATTCTCTTCTCTCTTTCTGAGAGTTTAGAAATTCCGTCCAAAGAGGATGCTTTGCTGAGTATCTCACTTCTTCTAATGCACAATTCCCTATAAAACATTGACCTAGGGAGCCGCTAACGAGCCACTGGTGCTTTTATTAAATTAATAAGAACATATACTACACTTGATCTTAGCCAAAAGGCTGAGAAGTGATGACGTTTTGGTGCTTTTTAAAAAAAGTGTGGGCTCAGTTGGTTGAGCATCCAACTCCTGCTTTTGGCTCAGGTCATGATCTCATGGTCGTGAGATCAAGCCTGGCTTCAGGCTCTATGCTGGGTGTGGAGCCTGCTTAAGATTCTCTCCTTCTCCCTCTGCCCCTCCCCAACTCACACGTTCTCTCTCTTTGTCTCCAAAAAAAAAATTAAAAGTTAAAAAAGTATGTAACAGAAAGTCAAATATTTCTGGGTGTTAATGTCCTTGAATAATCCTATGGATAAGTTAAAACTAAAAAGGAAACCTGAAAATAAACAGAAAATCGTGTTATTGCAAATATTATTACACCATAGTCTATTTGTGCCTACTGTGTCTATCTTCCCCATAAGCTATTCCCTCTGCCTAGAATACCCTTCCTATTTATCTAGCTAAGGAATCCTCCCAAATCTAGCTCAAATGTTTTGTCCTTAGTAAGCCTTTCCTAATGCCCTCACAGTATTTGCTTTGCTCTCTGAGCTTCTACATTACTGCCTGGATGAGAATTGATCTGTTTCCCTCAACAGTTCCTTTCTAGACTGTGAACTCCTTGTGGGCAGAAATACTTATTCATTGTTGTGGCCTCAGTGCCTATGAGTTCTAGGACCTTCATACAAATTGCTGGAAGGCGGGAATACAGGAGGCTAAAATGGATTAATCATGACATTCTATTTCTGTGTTGCCAGTTACTAGCACAGAAGTGTGTTTTATTCTCCTGCATTTTGTGGGGTGGGGCGGGGGGGGGGGGTTCTTTATTTTTTTAGTACCAGGTTTCAGCACTGAAGAAATGACTTCATTCTAGCCATAAGCAACAATAATCAAGAAAGCTGGTCTTGTTCCATTAGCCTATGGACAAGTTTTACTCTTTACAAGCTATTACCCATTACATAATATTAAATTGTAAAATCTGGGTCAGACAGGTGAAAAAATAAACAGTTCTAAGATTTGCATCGACCTCATCACTATCTCTTCAACTGCCAATAACATTCATCAGATGACCCAATGATGATAAAACAAGATTCCATAATGACTTTACATACCTCTTAATGCAGCCATTTTGTTTGCATCTAGAGGTCGGAGGCCTTGGGAATTGACACCTACCCAGCCGTCCATCAGAATCTCCTTGGAGAACAAAATATGAATCAGGTAGCAGAATGCATGCCTAGGATTAGCCTTCCTTTGTGCAGTCAGCAAATGAGCATCAAACACCCCGACATTCCTTTTTGGATCACCGAGATACCCTTTTAAAACAGAGGGAAAAAGTAAAATCTTTGTGTTTTTTTCATGCAAGGCTACCATGAAAGTGCCCAAGAAAAGGAAACTAATTGATTTCTAATTCACTAATTTCTACTTGGGTGAATTTTTTTCTGTACTTCTCTCTTCTTTTCCTTAAATGAGTCTCTTTGATGCCATCTGCATAACAGCATTTTTCACCTTTTCTAGTCTTGAATGCTCCATACTTGAACTAATTGTTTCATTGTCTTGAATAAATTCAATTCTTAGGCTAAAGATGCATATGTAAACATGTTGCTCTGAGATCCCATTGCTCCCTTTTACAGACTAAAAGTACACTCAGAGCTATATTCCTGAGTGAGTATATGTTCCCTGAAAATGATTTGGAAAAAATGGGTAGGCATAATTAAGAAAATTTTAAGGGGCGCCTGGGTGGCTCAATCAGTTAAGCATCCGACTTCAGCTCAGGTCATGATCTCACGGTTCGTGGGTTCGAGCCCTGTGTTGGGCATTATGGTGACAGCTCAGAGCCTGGAGCCTGCTTTGGATTCTGTGTCTCCGTCTCTCTCTGTCCCTCGCCCCCACCTCTCTCTCTCTCTCTCTCTCTCTCTCAAAAATAAAAATAAACATAAAAAAAGAAAATTTTAAAATAGCTAGCATTTATTGAGTAACTCCTATATATCAGTCACTATGTTAAATATTTTGCATCTATAATCTCAGTTTCATCACCCTAATGACATTATGCCCATTTAGAAGATGAGGAAACTGAGGCCCACAGAAGTTACTTGTGAACAAGATCACAGAGCCAGTTTTTAAATCTGTTTATAAACCAAGTTCTCTGAACCATTAATCTGCTGATGTCTTCCATTCTTTTTTCTATTTCTTGTTTTGAAACACAAAATTAAAATCATACTTCATATATAGTCTGAATCCTGCTTTTTCAATTATCTCGAACATGTCTCCATTTTCTTTAGTTCTTGTTTTGTTTTGTTTTTTTTCCAAGTCTGCATCTGCATTCCTATCTTCATGATTTTCCTGACAGGTGACACTCAGGTTGGACTTGGGTTCTGAGCATTGAGTTAAGAGCTTTAAATGAATAATTCCATTTGATCCTCACAATTCTATGAAATAGGTACCAGAATTTTTGTCACTTCACAAATGAAGAAACCAATACTTAGGTTATATAAGTGACTGAAGGTCACATGGTTAGTAAGACCTAGAGCTGGGATTTGAACCCAGGCAATCTGACTCAAGAGCCCATGCTCTTAACCACGATGCTTTACTGCTTCATGTATGTCCATGGATATACCAGGAATTACTTCACTAATTCCCTATGGCTGCTTATTTGGCTGTCTCCAATTGTCCATGATTCTCTAAAGAAAGTTCTTGTACCAAAATTTAAATATAAATCTTTTTTATTAATTACATCTTCAGATAGAAGTGGGATTACTGAGTCAATTGGCATAAATACTTTTATGGATTTTTATAGAAATCGCCCTTCAGAAAGTTTTTGCCAGTGTATACTTCTAACAACAGCATACCATGGTGCCCATTTAGTAACAGAACAATTTTGGAACTTTTTTCTACTTTTGCCAACAAAATGATTTAAAAGAAAAGCATCTCCTCTAGGACAGGAGTCAGCAAACTACAGTCCACAGGGCAATCTCACTACCATTTTTTGCAAATGAAGTTGTATTGGCACATAGCCACGCTCATTCATCTACCTACATCTGTGGCTGCTTTCATGCTACAGCAGCAAAGTTGAGTAGTTGTGACAGACACCAGATGGCCCACAAAGCCTAAAATAGTTACTATCTAGCCCTTTACAGAAAAAGTTTGCTGAGCCCTGTGCTAGAATATTAATAAGAGATTATCTACTTAGAAGTAGAGACACAAAGGAACTATAAAATATTAGGAAGGTTTGCCCTTAGAAACCACGGAACTTAGGGTCACCTCATCTCTGCCACTGTGGCTTGGCAGGCAATACACAGCTCAGGTCATGATATCACGGTTCATTGGTTGGAGCCCCGCGTCGGGCTCTGTGCTGACAGCTCAGAGCCTGGAGCCTACTTCGGATTCTGTGTCTCCCTCTCTCTCTGCCCCTCCCCCACTCGCACTCTATCTCTGTCTCTCAAAAATGAATAAACGTTAAAAAAATTAAAAAAAAAAAAGAAATATGAGATTTAAAGCCAGAGAGAACTGAGTTAGAGTTCCAGAATTGCCACTCACCAGGTCTTAAGGCTTTGAGAAAGGGAGTAATAAAAGTACCTACATATGGGGTCATTTGAATGTTAACAGAGAAGAGACATGTCAGTTCATTAGTACAGTGCCTTGTACACACTCAATAAATGTTAGCCATTATTATTAATATAACCTAAAACCAACCCTTAAAATAGGAAACAAAAACCTTCCATTTGCCTGTATCAAGAACGTTTAAGGGGATGCCTGGGTGGCTCAGTCAGTTGCGTGTCTGACTTTGGCTCAGGTCATGATCTCGTGGTTCATGAGTTCGAGCCCCATATCAGGCTCAGTGCAGAGACCGCTTCAGATTCTCTGTCCCCTTCTTTCTCTGCCCCTCCCCTATTCATGCACGCTCACTCTCTCTCTCAAAAATAAATAAAACATTTAAAAAAAGAATGTTGAAGAATATATGTTAAGTGGTGCTACTTGTGATGTGTCATCACACAGTCAGTCACCAAAATTGGACCGGATGCAGAAAGATGATGAGCTAGAATCTTGGCTATTGTCATTTTCCAATATAGTTGAGTAAGATCTGTTTTCCATGACATTTTCTGCTTTTACCAATATTTCTATAGTTAAAAGTGCTGAAAGAAAAGAACTCTCGATAGCAAATTTGCTATACAGCAAACTATCCTTCAGATATGAAGGGGAAATAAACACATTCTCAGACAAAGAAAACTAAAAATATTTATCACTAGCAGACCGACTCTTAAAGAATGGCTAAAGGAAGATCATCAAACAGAAAAGTTATGATGACAGAAGGAATCTTGGAGCATCAGAAAGGAAAAGATAACAACAGAAAGAGCAGAAATATGCATGCAGAGAAACTTGATCATTCATTCAATATGAAATGGAACAGCTACACTGGAAAACAGTTTGGCAGTTTCTTATAAAACCGAAATCTTCAATTACCACATGACATAGTAATTTCACTCTTGGGCAAGTATCCCAGAGAAGTAAAAGCTCATGATATGACATGAAAACCTGCACATGAATGTTCTTAGCTTCATTCATAATAGCCAAAACTGTGAACAACCCAGATGTCCTTCAACAGGTGAATGGTTAAACAAACCGTGGTAAATCTAATACCATAGAATACTATTCAATAATTAAAAGAAATAAAGAACAGAAGAGGCAGAGATACAGATAAATACAATATGATCGTGAGTTTTGTAAACCATATGTGACGACTGAGACAAAAATGAAAATACCATCTGACATCCAAGACAATGACAGTTAAAAATGAGGAGGGCAAAGGGAACTAAGTGGAATTAAAGTTTCAACACTTTATTCCAAGTGGTAAAATGCTGACACCGGTAGACTGTGATAAGTCACATACATATATAGTAACATCCAGAGGAACCACTCAGAAAACTATATAAAACAGCATATTTAAAAACATAAATAAATCAAAATAGAATCCTAGAAAGTGTTCAGGTAACCCACAGGAAGGCAAAAAAAGATAAACAAAAAAAGAATGAGAGGGGTGTCTCACTAGCTCAGTCAGTAGAGCATGCAACCCTTGATCTCAGGGTGGTGAGTTCAAGCCCCACAATGGGTGTAGAGACTACTTACAAAAATAAATAAACTTTAAAGAAAATAATGAGAAAAACAGAAAACAAAAAGAAAAATAATAAAATGCTAGACTTAGGTCTATGATATCAATAATTATCTTAAATGAAAATAACCTAACCATATCAATTAAATGGCAGCAACTGGTAAAGTAGATTTAAAAAAGTCAACTATGTGCTGTTTACAAGAAACTCTACAAATTCAATACATAGGTAGATTGAAAGTAAACTGATGGAAAAGCATACATATACCATGCAAACATTAATCAAAAAAAAAAAAACAGAATAGCTGTACTGCCATCAGATAAAGTAGACTTGAGAGCAAAGAAAGTTACTAAAAACAAATAAAGATGAAAAGACCAACCCCAACGAAGACAATGATTCTCAACATACCAAATGACAAAGTCTCAAAATACATGAAGCAAAAATGGAAAGAGCTAAAAGGAGAAAGAATCAAATCCATAATTATAGTTCTGGACCTCACACACTCCCCTCTCTCAGCAACTGATGGAACAACCAGACCAAAAATCAGCAAGGATACATAAGATCTGAACAACACAATCAATGAACAGGATTCTCGTTATAGAACATTCCACCCAACAAAACCAGAATGTATATGTTTTTTCAAATGCCTGTGGATCATTCACCAACACAAACCACATCCTAGGCCAGAGGAAAAAATCTCAACAAATTTAAAAGAAAATAAATCAAAAGCATAAGAGACTCTTAAAAACTGAGAACAAACTGAGGACTGATGGGGGGTGGGGGGGTGGGTGATGGGTATTGAAGAGGGCATCTTTTGGGATGAGCACTGGGTGTTGTATGGAAACCAATTTGACAATAAATTTCATATATTTTTAAAAAAACAAAGAAAAAAAAAGAAAAGAAAAGAAATCATATGTGGTATATTTTCTGACCATAATAGAATCAAACTAGAAATCAATAATAGAAACACAAGAAGAAAAATCTTTAAACACCTGGAAATTGAACAGCATATTTATAAATAATAGATGTATCAAAGAGAAAGTTTTCAAAGAAATAATAAAACACATAGGACTTAATGAAAATACAACACATCAAAATATATGAGATGTAACTAAGTCAGTACTAAAAGTGAAATTTATAGCCCTAAATGCTTATATTAGAAAAGAAGACAGTTCTAAATTTATAATGTAAGTTCCTACACCAAAAACTAAGAAATGAAGAGTAAAATAAACCCAAAATAAGCAAAAAGAATGAAATAACAAAGAGCAGTAATCAGGCACCTGGGTGGCTCAGTCAGTTAAGTGTCCAGCTCTTGATTTCGGTCAGGTCATGATCTCATGGTTTGTGAGTTCGAGCCCCACATCAGGCTCTGTGCTGACAGCATGGAACCTGCTTGGGATTCTCTCTCTCCCTCTCTCTCTCTCTGCCCTTCCCCTTCCTGGGCATGCTCTCTCTTTCTCTCTTTCTCTCTCTCTCTCAAAATAAATAAATAAACTTTAAAAAAAAAACAGAAATCAATGAAACTGAAAATATGAAAACAACAGGAAAACAACAGGAAATCAACAAAGCAAATAGCTAGTGCTGCAAAAGATTAATAAAGCTACTAAACCTCTAAAAAGAAAAAGAGATGACACAAATCATCAGTATCAAGAATGAAGCAAGTTATCACTAGAGATCCAGCAGTCATCAAAAGGATAATAGGGAATGCTACAAACCACTTTACATTCATAAATTTAGTAACTTAGAAGAGTTGAATCAATTCCTCCAAAATTACAAATGACAAAACTCAACCCAGATGACACAGATAATCTAGATAGCCCTATAACCATCAAAGACATTAAATTTGCAATTAAAAGCCTTCTGAAAGGGTGCCTGGATGGCTCAGTTGGTTAAACGTCTGACTTCGGCTCAGGTCATGATCTCATAGTTCAAGAGTTCGATCCCCGTATTGGGCTGTGCTGACAGCTCAGAGCCTGGAGGCTGCTTCAGATTCTGTATCTCCCTCTCTCTCTGCCCCTCTCTCGCTCACACTCTGTCTCTCTCTCTCAAAAATAAACATTTTAAAAAATTATAAATTTTTTAAAAAGTGAAATAAATAAATAAAAACAAATGATAAAATAAAATCTAAAGTAGAAAAAAGGATCTCTCTGTATTATTTCATGCACCCACATGTGGTTCTGAAATATCTCCAAATGAAAACTTTCATTTTGAAAAAGCTATCACTAAGAATTCATATTAAGAATGTTGATGAACCTAAATTAGAGAGTACTGCTTATAATATGTATCATTTTAAACTCAAACCAGGAGTGAGGAAGAAAGACTCTGAATCAGTGTCACGGTCCCTGTTGTTTTTCATTGAAGTTGAGGAATCCATTGTCTCAGAACTCATTTCTGTCCTGGATTCTGTTTGCACAACATTTTGATCAGTAAAACATCTTTCAAGTGCTGAAAGACAAGGAATCTCAAGAGTGATTTTTGTGTCAGGCAAAACTACCCTCCAAGAATGAGGAGAAATAAAGACATCCTCAGACAAAGGAAAATTAAAAAAAAATGTTGCTGGCTGACTAAGCCTTAAAACATGGCTAAAGGAAATCTGACCAAAAGGATATAATGAAGGAAGGAGCCTCAAAGTACAAAGAAGGAAGAAAGAACAAAAGAAAGAGCAAAATTATACACACAGAAAAACTAGATCACTCGTATATCGCTGGTGGGAATAGAAGACGGTACAGCTACACTGGGAAGCAGTTCAACAGTTTTTTACAAAACTCAACTTACTGTTATTGCAGGACCCAGCAACTGTGCTCTTGGGCTTTATCTCAGAGAAATGAAAACTGATGCTCACATTGAAACCTGTACATGAGTGTTCATAGCAACTTTACACCTAATAACCAAAAACTGGAAACCCAGACATCCTTCAACCAGTGAACAGATAAACCCCAGTACACCCATACTGTGGACTAGTCCTCAGCAACAAAAAAGAAAGAATTACTGATACACGCAGCAACTTAGTTGAAGCTCCAAGGAATTATGCTGAATGAAAAAAAAAGGCCATCCCCAAAGATTACATACCATATGAGTCTATTTATATAAAATTCCTGAAATGAAAAAAGTATAAAGGAGAAGAGCAGATTAGTGGCTGCCAACGGCAGGGACAAGGTAGGGTAGGAGTAAGAGAGTAGGAGGAGAAAAGCAGGTACGGGTTTAAAAGGCAACAGATGAAAACTACTCACGTCATGAAATTAAATAATATAAAGCTGAATACACATACACACACAAACATAAATCTACACACAAATACAAATAAAACTGAGAACATCTCAATAAAAATCTGTGGATTCTATCAATGTCTACATACTGGTTGTGTGATACTATACTATAGTTTTGCCAGATGGTGTCATTGGGCGAAAGTGGGTAAAATGTACACAAGATCTCTCTTACAATTGCATGAGCAGCTACAATTTTCTCAATATAAAATTTCTAATTTTTAACTAATTAATTTTAAGTATCTTAAAAAAATTTTTTAACATTTATTCAATTTTGAAAGATGAAGAGAGACAGAGCATAAGCAGGGGTGGGGCAGAAAGAGAGGGAGACATAGGATGTGAAGCAGGCTCCAGACTCTGAGCTGTCAGCACAGAGCCTGATGCGGGGCTTGAACCCACAGACTGAGAGATCATGACCTGAGCTGAAGTCAGATGCTTAACCGACTGAGCCACCCAGGTGCCCCTAAGTAATTTTTAATTAGGAGATGCTACCAGTAGGTGACATTAAGTGTGTTAAGGAATCTATATTAAACAGCGCTACTTGTAATATGTATCGTTTCAACTCACCAAAACTGGAAGGGATGAAGAAATATGCTGAAGTATCTTGACCACTGTCATTTTCCAATACAGGTGGGCAATTTGTCATCTTAGTGTTATTTTCCAGGCTGGTTTCTTCTTTGCCCATCATTTCTATAAAGACAACATTTTTTAAGTACTGGAAGAAAAGACTACCAAACTCATGTTCTATACCCAATGAAACTATCCTTCTGTAATAAGGCAAAAATAAAGATATTTACATACAGAGGAAAACCAGAAGTATTTGTCACTAACTGACTTAGGCTCAAAAATGGCTAAAGGAAACTCTTCTTACAGAAAGAATATGAAAGAAAGAGTTCTGGAGCATCAAGAAGGAGAAAGAACAATGGAAAGAGCAGAAATCTGGATGCAGAGTGACTGGTTCACTCATACATTGCTGGCAGGAATGGAAAATGGTACAGCTATGCTGGAAAGCAGTTTGTCCATTTCTTATAAAACTAAGGATGCAATTACCAAAGGGCCTGGAAGTTGCACTCTTGGGCATTCATCCCAGAGAAATAAAAACTTGTATGAGAGAATGAAATGAATGAAATGAAGCAAAGCTAAAAACGATAAACAAGTATTCATAGCAGGTTTACCCCTAACAGCTAAAAACAGGAAACCCAGAGGTTTTAACAGCTAAATAAATCATGGGGTATCCAAACAGTGGAATAGTACTCAGCAGCAAAAAAGAAGGAATGACTGACACGTGCAGCAACAGGAGCAACTCTCCAGGGAATTGCACTGAGGGAAGAAAGAAGCCAGTCTCAAACACCATGTGATTCTATTTATAGAACAATGCTGAATGGACACATTATAGATCTGGAGAGCAGATTCCTGATTGCCAGCAGAGAGAGACAGGGCATGGCCTGGAATTGGGAAGAGAAGTCCTCTGGAGGGAGGTGGGTGTGGCAAAAAAAGAGCAACATGAGGGAAAATGGTGCTGATGGAACTGTTTCGGGGCTTCCCTGTGGTAGAGGCTACATGAATCTCTGCAGACGGTAACATCGGTAACATCATATAGAACTAAATACACACGAGCGAAACTGAAACCAGGGACATCTCAATCGTATCTGCTTGTGTCTGCGGATGGTAGAGTAACAGTATCTTGGTTGTGATAATTTGTCACTGTTTTGCAAGATGTTAAGATTGGGTAAAACTGGAGAATGGGAACACAGGACCTCTCTGTATTATTTTTTATAACTGCATGTGCAGCTAAACTTTTCTGAAAATAAAAACTTCATTAGAAAAAGCTACCACTGGGGTTCCTGGGTGGCTCAGTCAGTTGAGTGCCCGACTTCAGCTCAGGTCATGATTTCATGGCTCTGTGAGTTCAAGTCCCGCATCAGGTTCTGTGCTGACAGCTCAGAGTCTGGAGTCTGCTTCGGATTCTGTGTCCCTCTCTCACTCTGCCCCTCCCTCACTCATGCTGTGTGTGTCTCTCTCTCAAGAGTAAATAAAAAAAAAGAAAAAGAAAAAGAAAAAGCTACCACTGAGGTGCCTAGGTGGCTCAGTCGTTTGAGCGTCTGACTTTGGCTCAGGTTGTGATCTCATGGTTTGTTCATGAGTTCAAGTCCCACAATGGGCTCTCTGCTGTCAGCACAGAGCCTGCTTTGGATCCTCTGCCCCCCACCATGCCCCATGCCTCAGCCCCTCCCCTGCACATGCATGCACGTTTCTCTCTCTCTCAAAAACAAAAAACAAACAAAAAAACTTTTTTAATATTAAAAAAAAGAAAAAGCTACCACTATCTCACACTAAGGATGTTGAAGAATCTAGATTAAATATACTACTGTATCAAATGTATCATTTCAAAATCACCAAACCTGGGAGGAATGCAGCAACATAAGGGGAAAAAGTCTTGGCCACTGTTGTTTTCCAATAAAAGTGGATAACTTGTTGTCTCAGGGCTCTCTTCCAGGTTGGTCTGAGCCTTTATCAATATTTCTATGAATAAAATATTTTCAAATACCGAAAGTTAAGAAATCTCAACCCTGAAGTCTGTATCAGGCAAAACTGTCCTTCAGTAATGAAACAGATTTATGAGAATGGTAATGAGTGAACCTGGAGGGCATTAATAAGCCAAATAGTAAACAAGACAAACACTGCATAGTATCATTTATATGTGGAATCTAAAAAAAAAAAAAAAATTCAAACTCATAAAAACAGAGAGTAGCATAAATGAATGGCAGTTCAATGGCAGCCAGGGGCTGGGTGGGGGTGGGGGGGAATGGGGAGAGGCTGGTGAAAAGGTACCAACTTTCAGTTTTAAGATAAATAAAGTCTGAGGAGCTAATGTACAGCTGATAATACTGGACTGTATAACTGAAATTTGCTTAACGTGTAGAACTTAAGCATTCTCACCACAAAAATAAATAAATAAATAAATAAATAAATAAATAAATAAATAAAAAGGTATGTGAGATGGCAGACATGTTAATTAACTCAATGATGGGAATCATTTCCCCATGTATACGTATATCAAATCACACCGTACACTTTATAAATATATTACAACTTTGTCAATTATACCTCAATAACACTGAAGACAAGATATGAACATCCAAACTGGTTTAAAAAAAAAAAAAAGAATGAAGGGGAAATCATGACATTCTCACACAAAGGAAAGCCAAAAGTATTTGCCACTAGCTGACTTATGTTTGAGAATGGCTAAATGAAAATCTTCTATCACAAAAGAATGATGAAAAAAATTCTGGAGCATTGAAAAAGAAGAAAGAGGGGTACCTGGGTGGCTCAGGTTAAGCATCCAACTCTTGGTTTCAGCTCAGGTCATGATCTCATGGTTCATGAGTTCAAGCCCTGCATCGGGCTCTGCACTGACAGCACAGAGCCTGCTTGGGATTCTTTCTCTCCCTCTTTCTCTCTCTCTGCCTGTCCCCTGCTCATATGCACGAGCTCTCTCTCAAAATAAATAAACACTTAAATAAATAAATAAGCAAAAAAGAAGAAAGAAGAATGAAGGCAGCAGACATGTAGATGCAGAGAAACCAGATCACTCACACACTGCTCGTGCAGAAGTAAAATGGTACCGCCTCTCTGGAAAACTGTGGCAGTTTCTTATAAAACTAAACATGCAATGATCATACAACCAAGCATTTGCACTCTGGGGCATCTAAAAGAAATCAAAACTTATGTTTACATGAAAACCTGTACATAAACAGTCACAGCAATTTTACTTGTAATCCTGAAAAGTAGAAAAAAGTCCAGACGTTCTTCAACAGTGAACCAATACACAAACCTTGGTACATCCACGCCATGGAAAGGTACAGAGCAATAAAAAAGAAGGAAATGCTGATACACGCAATAAGTCAGATGAATCTCCTGGGGACTTATATTGAGATGGGTGTGGTTACAAACAGGCAAGATGAGGCATCCTTATGGTGGTGGAAATGTTCTGTATCTTGACCGTGGTGGTGGACATCCAACCTACTCATGTGATACAATAAAATAGAACTAAACACATACACAAGAATCAATTTAATTAAACTGGGTAAGTCTCAGTAAGAGCTGTGGATGTGGGGTGCCTGGGTGGCTCAGTCGGTTATGCGACCGACTTTGGCTCAAGCCATGATCTCATGGTTTGTGAGCTTGAGCCCCGCGTCGGGCTCTGTGCTGACAGCTCAGGGCCTGGAACCTGCTTTGGATTCTGTGTCTCCCCTTCTCTCTACCCTTCCCCTGCTCACGCTCTGTGTCTCTCTGTCTCTCCATAATAAATAAATATTTTTAAAAATTAAAAAAAAAAAAGATCTGTGGATGATATCAGTGTCAGTCTCCTGGTTGTGATGTTCTACCACGGTCTTGCAAGATGCTATTGTTGGCCGAAATGGGTAAAGCATAAATGAAATCTCTCTGTATTATTTGTTACAACTACAATGGGTATCCAAATTACCACAATATTAAAAGTATGATTTCTTACAAAGAAAAAGCTATCATGAGTTCACACGAAGGATATTGATAGTTCTAACTTAAACAGTGCTACTTGAAGTAAGTATCATTTCAAACTAACTGAAACTGGGTGGGACGGATTGAAATGAAGAGGCAGGATCTGGGCCAGTGTCATTTCCCAATGAAGTTTGGTAATACACCGTCTGACAGCTGTTTTCCAGGCTGGTTTCTGCTTTTTCTGGCATTTCGACAAGCATAACTTTGTCAAGTGCTGAAAGTCAAGAACTCTCATCTGTAAATTCTATACTGAGTTAGATTATCTTTCAGGAAAGAAGGGGGAAATAAAGACATTCTCACATAAAGAAAATTTTAAAAAAAAAATGTTCCTAGCAGATTTACTCAGAAAAGATAGCTAAAGGAAAATCTTCAAACAGAAAGGATATTATGGAGAAGGAATCTTGGGGCATTAGTAAGGAAGAAATAATAGAAAGGTGAGAAATCTAGATGGGGAGAAACTAGATCACCTATACATTGCTACTGGGAATGTAGAATAGCACAGGCTCTCTGGAAAACTGTTTGGCAGTTTTTATAAAACCAAACATGCTATTACCATAAGACCAAGCAATTGTACTCTTGGCATTCATGACAGAAAAAATGAAAACTTGTATTTACACAAAAATCAGTATGTGACTGTTCACAGCAGCTTTACTTCTAGTATCCACAGACTTGGAAAGAAAAAAAAAAAACAGATGTCCTTCAATGTGTGAATGTGTTTTTTAAAAAAAAATTGTTGTGTATCTATACCACAGGAAACTTTTTACCAATAAATGAGAAATAAAAACTTATATTTACCCAAAAATGTGTACATGGGTATTTATAACTGCTTTATTCCTAATGGCCAAACACCAAAAAAAAACCCAGATGTCCTTCAATAGGTGAACAATTAAACAAAATGTAGTATATCTGTAGCATAGAATACTATTTTCAGCAATAATAGTAATAAACTATTGATACATGCAACAAACTGGATGAGTCTCCAAGCAATCTGAGTGGGTGGGGGGGAGCTACATCATATATGACTCCACTTATATAACAATCTGAAGAGACAAAATTATAGAAACAGAGAAAAGATTAGAGACAGCCAGGTATCGGGGAGGGGTCTTGGGGGCAGGGAAGGTAGGTGTGGTTCTAAAAATTGCAATAACAAGGGATCCTTGAGTGATGGAAATGATCTCTACCTTGACTGTGGTGGCAGACGTGCGAACTTACACGTACAATAAAACTGTGTAGTGCTAAATGCACACATGAACACATATACACATATACACATATACACACACAGATGCAAATAAAACCAGAGGCATCTCAATAACACCTGTGAATTATATCAATGTCAATGTCTGGGTTGTAGTAACACTGTACCATGGTTCTGCAAGGCGTTATCATTGGGGAAAATCCATAAAGCATAAACGAATCACTCCATATTATTTCTTACTACTGCACTGAATCTTAAGTTACATCAAAATAAAATTTTCAAAAAGAGCTGTAACTGGCTTGTATTAAGGATGTTGATGGATCTAGATTAAACAGTTATACACGTGATATGTATCATTTCAAACTCACCAAAATTGGGCAGGAGTGGGAGAGATGAAGAGTCAGTATCTGAGCCCCTGATACTTCCCAATAAATCTGGGTAATAGATGGTCTCGGAGCTGTTTTCGGGGCTGGTGTCTGCATTTCCTGACATTTCTAGGAGTATGAACTTTTCAATTGCTGAAAGATAAGAACTCTCAACCATGAATTCTACATGAGGCAAAACTATCCTTAAGGAAAAACGTGAAAGAAAGACATCTTGAAACACAGGAAAACTAAAAGAATCTGTCCCCAGCAGACTTACCTGTATAGAAAGGCTAAAGTAAAATCTTCAAACAGAAAGGACATGATGACAGAAAGAAGTCTGGAGCATCAGGAAAGAGGAAAGAACAATGGGAAGAACAGAAATGTGGATGCGGAGAAAGCAGATCACCCACACTTTGCTGGTGAGAATGCAAACTGGTACAGTCTCTCTGGAAAACTGTTGGACAGTTTCTTATAAAACTGCACATGCAATACCATAAGACTCAACAACTGCACTCTTGGCATTCGTGACAGAAATAAAGCTTATGTTTATACAAAAGCCAGGACACAGATGTTCGTAGCAGCTTTACTCCTAATACCAAAAACTGGAAAAAAGAAAAACCCAACAACAATGATTGTCCTTCAACGGGTGAACGGGTGAACAACTACTGCACGTTGCAACCACAGAAGACTATTCAGCGCTAAAAAGGGAGAAAGTACCGATACATGCAACGACCTGAATGAGTCTTCAGGGAATTGTGCCGACTGAAAATTCCAAATAATCTTCAGAGGTTACATCCCGTAAGATTCTCTTTATACAACACTCTTGGAGAGACAAAATTATAGAGAGCAGCACTTGCTAAGGGTTAAGGAAATGAGCAACGGGAAGGAAAGGGCAGCCTGAGAGAGGCAGGTGTGGTTATAAAAGGGCACGACGAGGCATCCTGATAGCGATGGATATGTTCTGTATCCTGACTGTACTGGTGGACATCAAACTTACTCATGTGATAAAATTACGTAGGCATATGTACAAACGCACACAAATCACTACAAGTACAACTGGGAACATTTCAGTAACATCTGTGTATTGTACCGATGTCAATACCCTGGTTGCGTTATCATCCCATAGTTTTGTAACATGCTAATGTTGGGAGAAACCGGTAAAGAGTAAAATGGATGTCTTTACATTATTTCTTGAAAACATATGTGAATCCAAAATTGTTTCAAAATAAAAAGCTTAATTTAAAGTATGAGCTACCTCTAGCTTCCATTAAGGATGTTGATGCATCTAAAGCAAACAGTGCTACTTATTTTAAACTCACCAAAATTGGGTGGGAGAAAGACAGGTGAAGAGCACTGGTCCCTGTCATTTCCTGATGAACTTGGGTGATTCATTGTCTTGGGGTTGTTTTCCAGGCTGGTTTCTGCTGTTACTGGTATTTCTACAGAAAGGACATTTTTCAAGTGCTTCAGAAAAGAACTCTCAGCCGTTAATTCTATATGTAGCAAGACTATCCTTCATTAATGTACAGGAAATAAAGACATTCTCACATGAAGAAAAACTAAAAGAACTTGTCCCTCACAGACTGACCCTTAAAGAAAGGCCAAAAATATTCAAAATATTCCCAAAATATTCAAACAGAAAAGACATGAAAAAGGAATGGCTCCCTGAGCATCAAGAAGAAAGAACAAAGGAAAGAGAAAAAATAGGCATAAAGAGAAACTGTATCACTTATGTATTACAGGTGTAAAGTCAAATGGCACAGCTCCTCTGAAAAAAATTTTAGCAGTCTCTTATAAAACTAAACATGAAACTGTCCTATGACCCACAATTGCCCTCTCGGGCAGCCACCTCAAAAAAAATATAAACTTAAGTTTACACAAAAACCAGTATATGACTATTTGCAGAATCAAACATGGGAGAGTGGAAGAAACTGTTGATACATGCAACAGTTGGCATGAATCTCCAGGAAATTATGTTTAGGAAAAAAAAAAGCTATGCTCAAAAGGTTATATGGATTTTATTCCATCTAAATAACAATATTCAAGGGGCACCTGGGTGGCTCAGTCAGGTAAGCATCTGACTTTGGCTCAGGTCATGATCTCATGCCTCTCCTTCTGCCCCTCCACCCACTCACACTCTCTCTGTCTCTCAAAAATAAATAAACATTAAAAAATTAAAAAAAGAAAAAAGCAATATTCAAGTGACAGAATTATAGAAAGTGAGATCCGTTCACTCTTCGCTAGGAGGAAAAGGTGACCAGAGGGAGGTGGCTGTGGTTGTAAAGGGCAGTATGTGGCAACAATGGAAGCTTTCTGGATCACAACTGTGATGATAAATAACACTCGTGGAATAAAATCGCACAGAACTGAATACATGCATGCACGCACACACACACACACACACACACACACACACACAAATGTGGATAAAATCAATGTCAGTACCCCCTAGTTGTGCTATTTTACTATAGTTTTACAAGAGGTTATCGTTGGGGAAAATGGGTAAAACATAAATGGGATCTCTACATAATTTCTTTTTTTTTTAACTTTTTTAGCGTTTATTTTTGAGACACAGAGAGACAGAGACAGAGTGTGAGTGGGAGAGGGGTAGAGAGAGGGGGAGACACAGAATTCAAAGTGGGCTCCGGGCTCTGTGCTGTCAGCATAGAGACAGACGTGGGGCTCAAACTCATGAAGTCATGAACTGTGAGATCATGATCTGAGCCGAAGTCCAACACTCAACCAACTGAGCCACCCAGGCACCCCTAGACATAATTTGTTACAACCACACATGAATCTGCAATGATCTCAAAATAAAAAGCTTCATTAAAAACAAGAGCTGGCACTGACTTGCATTAAGGATGCTGGTGAATCTGAATGGCACGACTTATCATATGTGTCATTTCAAACTCACCAAAATTGGGAAGGATGAAAACAGATGAAGAGGCAGTATCTTGGCCACTGTCATGTCTCAACAAAGTTGGGTAATACACTGACTTAGCGCTGTCTCCAAGGCTGGCTTTGGCTTTTCCTGTCATTTCTATAAATAAAAGGTTTTCAAGGGCTATAATACAAGAACCTGCATTCATGAGTTCTATACTGGATGAAACTATCCATCAGGAAAGAAGGGGAAATAAAGACATCTCACACAAATGAGAACTAAAAGGTTTTGTCCCCAGAAGACTGATTCCTACAGAAAGGTTAAAGGAAAATCTTCTATCAGAAAGGATATGAGGAAAGAAGGAATCACGAAGCATCAGAAGAAAGAACAATGCAAAGAGCAGAAATACGGATGTGAAGAAACTGGGCCACTCATACACAGCTGGCAGCAACATAAAATGGCACAACTATACTGGAAAACAGGTAGTTTCCCATAAAACTGAATATGCAAATAAAAGATAACCAAAAACTGCACTCCTGGGTACTCATGTCCAAGAAATGAACACTTCTATTTACACAAAAACCTGTACATGAATATTCATAGCAGCTTTACCCCAGTAGTCAAACACTGGGTGGGGGGGGAATGAAAATTTTCTTCGACAGGTGAGCCGTTAAACTACAGCATACCTATACCATGGAACAGTAGTCAGCATGCAGTGATACACGCAACAACTTGGTTTAATCCCCAGCGACATACCTGGGGTGAAAAAAAGCCAGTATGAAAACGTTACATACTACATGCATCCAACTATATAACAATTTTGAAGTGACACACTTTTAGAGATAGAGAATAGATCAGTGGTTGCCAAGAGCTGGGGAAAGGGGAACAGGGAGGGCAGGGCCACCAGAGGGTGAGAAAAATGTTCTGTACCTTGACCACAGTGGTGGATGTGCAAACCCCACGTGATAAAACTGCCTGGAACTAAATGCACAGACACACAGTGAAACCAAACTGGGGATGGCTGAATAAGATCCGTGGGTTATATCAGCATCAGTCTCCTGGCCTTGATATTTTACTGTAGTTTCACAAGATGTTACCTTTGAGGGAGATTGGGTAAGGGGTACCACTCGATTCTTTCTTAGAACTACATGTGAATCTACAATTATCTCCTAAAACTTTTAATTAAAAAAATAGCTATAGCCAACTATACTTCAGCTTAAAAAATAGCTATTGCTAGTTTGCATTATGAATGATTTTTAGGGGCACCTGGGTGGCTCAGTCGGTTAAGTATCTCTTGATCTCACCTCCAGTCTTGACCTTAGGGTTGTGAGTTCAAGCCCCATGCTGGGCATGAGCCTTCCTAAAATAATAATAATAATAATAATAATAAGGAATGCTCTTTAATCCAGTTGAAAGGATGCTATTTCTAACATGTGCCATTTCAAACTCACCAAAACTGAGAGGGATGCAGAAAGCTGATGAGGCAGCATGTGGGTCCATGCTGCTATTTCCTGGTAAAGTTGAGCAGTTTGCCGTCTCAGGAAACTGGGCCAGACTGGGCTTTCCTTGTGGCAGAAGGGCTGGAGGTACTGCTGGAGGACACTGGGCAGACAGGGTACACAGCTGGCACCTTCCGCACCTTCGCTGACAAAGTAGGAAAGGGCGGCAAGACCAGGAGCTGGGCCGCCTGGTGTGTGATTGGACTGTAATGAAAACGTGGGGACAACCTTGGGAATTCGTGGCTTCTGCCTGAGGTCCGGCTGCTGTAGCTCAGGGGATGCTGCCGACTGAAGAGGAGCTCCCACAGAGTTGGTCAGGGGCTGGGTTTCCTGCTGGTCCTCTGGTACAGAGGGGCCCGCGGCTCCCTGGCCAGAGGAAGAGAATACAATGGGTTATGCTCTTTGCTTTGGTTCCTGGACTTGAATTTCTCCACGAGGTATAAAATTAAAACTGTTTTGTGTAAATCCAGAGGACCTGTAAAATCACACAAACCCATGATAAACCAATTGTGACAATAATAAGTAAAAAGCTGATAAAAGCATGAACACCTGCTTTCCTGGTGAAATCATTTTCCATAGTTAAGGATAAATGCTGAATTTTTATTACATGATTTTTATTCCTCTTCAACCCTACATTTTGAGTGCATTTTATAGATTACAGTTACAAACATAAAAACACTCAGTATCAAAATTTCTCAATCCTCAACTATAGCATTCCTCCAAGAGAGGTTTAATCTCCCATCTGCTGCTACAGTAAGTATATGTCAGCCTTGCTAATCTCAGAGTCATTAGTTCTCTCTCACTTCTAATCGATTGGTATCTTTAGGAACTAGAGGTTTATCAAAGTAATGAGAATGTTTTTATGACACACAGTTTGGCAACAGGGGCTTCTCCCAAGAAGGTTGCATTTTTGAGACGATTCTGCAAAGCTGGTTTACCTGCCTATTTGTGTTTTCAATAAGTTCTTGCAAACCCTATTATAACACAAAAAGTATTTTAGCAGATCCTATTTCAAAAGAAAAGTAACAGACAAGAAAATACCAGTAAGCCAAATATTTATCGCTAGAAACAAGGGAAGCTCTGAAGCCATCAGAAAGATCGTTTCCCACTTGACGCCCGGTTTTGGTGACACAGAGACGAGCTGGCTGAGATAAGGGGCCCCAGCCTCCTACTCAACTACTCAT